AAGTGAGCCTGAAAGAGAGTTTTGCAGAGGTTGAGGGGGGTGTGGGACTGTAACAGTGGATCAGAGCAAATGGAAGAGCGAGAATAACATTCAATGTGAGTGTTTAGTCAGTTAGGAATTATCACAGGATGTTGAGGAAGGACAATAAGATCTGAGATGACAAATGAGGTCAGAGTTAAATATCCTTTGTATTCTCAGCATTTTGTTAATACCTCTATCATTGTACCTATTATGGTATATTCTAATTTGTTATTTTAGAGTTCATCTCCCTGGTGAGTTGAGAAAATTTTGTGTTCTTGACCTCTAGATCCTCAAACCTAGCATTTGCCTGGAAATAGGCTTATTTGTCAAATAAATGAAAGGATAGTTCAAAGAAAGGGAAGATTAGAGGCAAAAAGACCAAGAAAGGTAGTGTAATAATACATGAAGTGGGCAATAAGACTCTGAAATAGGGCAAAGGCATCAGGCCAATGGGAAGAAAGAGGCAGACAATGAGAATCATCAAAGAGATAGCATTAACAGACTTAGTGATGAGGGGAAAGAGAATGTAACTCAAAAATGACTCCTAATAATTTTTAATGAGAATTAAAGGAATTTTTAAATTTCCATCTACAAACATTTGATTTTTTTTTTTTTATTAGAAGGTATTTTAAAAACAGATCAGCGACCAGCAGTTGGCATAATGGCTATGTTGCTGGATTCCCATATAGCTGGCTGCCATTCGAGTCCTGGATCCAGTGGCTTAAACTCATGCCGGGTGCATGTGTGCGTGCCCAAGATCCTGACAGAAGAATGGAGGAGAAGGGGTTGCAGCGTAGCCATTCCCCCTGTGGGGGTGATTTCTCACTTTTTGTCTGTTTCTGGCAAGCGCATGCGCCCTATAGAAAAAACTTCTCAAAAACAAAACAAAACAAAACAGAACAAACAAGAAAACCCAGATCATTCATAGACTAATCTATCATTTTAAATAAATTAATTTAGAATTAAATAGATATTTTTGTTTTTTTGTTTTTTGTTTTTTCCTTTTTTAGGTTTTTGCCGTAGTGCATATGTGCTCTCTGGAGAGAGACAGAGTCAAAAAGAGGGAAAGTGAGAAATCACATCCCCCTGCCCCAACAGGGGAGATAGCCATGCCATAATCCCTTCTTCTCCATTCTCAGGATTTGGGGCATGCTTGCACATGCACCCAGCGTGATTTTCAAGCCACCAGGTCTCGATTCAGGTCAGCTATGTGGGAATCTAGTGCCTTAACCACCATGCCACCTGTTGACTCCAAATAGGTTTTAAAACAGGATCTAATTTGGAACACACGATTTAGGAATGTGGCAAGTCAAATATTTTGATAATAAGTAGAAACTGACAAATGCTTGGAGGGAAGGAGTGGAAATGCTGGAAAATGCTTCTGTTACTGCGTAACTGGGCTCACTGCCTGACACGCAAAGGAGCCAATACGATGAGCACCAGGTTTTGAGAAAAGAAAAAAACACTTCATTGCAAAGTCTACTTGGCAAGGAGACAGGAGAGGGGGGAAAGGCATCTCAAATCTATTCCTTTAACAGTGGGACTGTGCAAGTTTTAAAGGGATTGGAGAGACCAGTGGCATGATGGTTGAGGTGGCTGATCCCACGTGGCTGACTGCCTGGTTTGAGTTCCAGACTGGTGACTTGGAAAACGTGCCAGGCACATGAGCATGCATTCTCAAAATCCCAAGAGGAGAATGGAGGATGAGGATTGTGATGTGGCCATCCCCCTCTGGGACGTGATTTCTCACTCTCCCTCTCTCTGTCTGTCCCTGGCAAGGATACACACCCGATAGCAGATAGATAATTAAATAGCCAATTGCTGTCCACCTTCAAGCTATTGCTACATTAAAAATAATTATTATAAAAAGGGGGTCTTTAGGGAGCAAGAATCAGCACAAACAAATCTTAATTTGGCCAAATCTACCTGATCAACTCTATATTTGTCCATGTTTAGCTGTGGTGGACTATGGGGCACCAATTCTTTTTCATTGACAGACTTCTCAGTATGTACTCTGTCAGTTTCCTGGAACTTTGGTTTCATGGTTGAAATATTCTTGATCCCATCCATAAATAGGGTTATTTCAGGTCAGACATCTCTTTTATTGTGCATGCTGTCTTGGAAAACAGCTGAAACTCTGTTAATAGTAGCAATCTTTGAGGAGGCAAAACTGGCTTAAACCTGTCTGTATTTTATGTGAGTTGCGCTTTTATAGCTCCTTCTCCATTGCTAAGACAAGGAATAAGTTTCACTTGGTCTGTATTTTATGTGAGTTGCACTTTGATAGCTCCTTCACCATTGCTAAGACAAGGAATAAGTTTCACTTGTGTGAAAAGGTAAGCCTGGAAAAAATCTGACCCTAGAATGCAGCACAAGTTAAACATTTTAAAAAGCTTTTACTATCAACCAGTGGCTTTGAGTTCTTTTAACTAATTCCTTTAATTTAGGGAGAACACACTAAATATATTACTTTACTAATGGTTGTAATCCATTCTATGTAGTTTTAGTTTATTGATGCTATAATTTTTGTAAGGACTTCAGATTGCAAAGCTGATTTATTTTAAGATTTTTACCAGATGTCCTAAAAAATCCAACTTTAGACTCTAAGCCATTTTTTTCTTTAATTGCCAGAGAGTGTGTGCATTTACCAGAGAGAAACACAGAGATTGTAGTGTGGACATGCCATAATCCTTTCTCCATTTCCCCGTCTGTCAGCTTTTGGGTATGCACACATACGTGTCTGGCATATTTCTCAAGCTGCTGGGACTGGAACTCTAACTACATGGTCAACCATTGTTGTGTTCAACTCCCTTAACCATTAGGCACAGGGTAGCCCAAAGCTATTTATTTATTTTTCTTAGAGAAATTTTTGCCATAGGGCATGTGCGCTTGCCAGAGAGACAGAGACAGACAGAGAGATAGAAAGTGAGAAATCACCCCCCCAGGGGGGATGGTCATGCCGCAATCCCTTCTCCTCCATTCTCCTCTAGGGATTTTGGGCATGCGTATACATGCGCGTGATATGAGTTTCAAGCTGCCAGGTTCGGGACTCGAACTGTGGTTGACCATGTGGGAGTCTAGCTACATTATCTTTATACCATCTGCTGGCCTCTCAAAAGTATTTCTTAAAAATTTGTTTCTTATTCATGCTAGAGCAGGGTCCCCAACCTTGCTGGCACCAGGTGCCAGTCCATGTCTTGGGCTTTGGACTGGTGCTAGTCTGCTGGGCTGCACAGCACAATGTGGGCATTCATGCACAGGCTGGCACACAGCATGTTTTTTTCAAGTTGCCAGATCCAGGCCTCAAACTGTGAAGTCAGTCATATGGGATCCAGCCACCTTAACCTATGCCACCTACTAACTCCAACCCCCACTTATATCTTTCCTGCTAGAAATTGCAAAGTCCATTATTGCTGTTATGTACTCTAGTAATAAGACTTAAGCAAATCTTTGTGAGCAAGTCTTTAATACTGTTGAGAATAAAATCACTTATTCCAAATCTTATATTCCAACTTTATTTTATTCCTTTTAAAAAAAGATTTATTCATTTAATTCCATTTGTTATTACTGTTATTTTTCAATTTGATCAGAGAGAGACAGAGACAAAGGGAAAGTGAGAAAGTAAGCCACCAGGTCTGGGATTCGAACCACGGTCTGCCATGTGGAGCATGACATCTCAACCACCACGCCACCTGCTAGCCCCACTTTATTTTATTCTTAAAATGTATTTAACACTAGAATATACTGTTAGGAATAGATTTGAAAGGCTTTTTAAAAAATTATGTAGTAAGGGAACCAGCGGTTAGTATAATGGCTATGTCGCTGGACTCCCACGTAGTCGACCACGGTTCACGTCCTGGACCCGGTGGCTTAAACCTCACGCCGGGCCCGTGTGCGTGCGTGCCCAAGATCCCGGGAGGAGAATGGAGGAGAAGGGATTGTGGCGTGACCATCCCCCCTGGGGGGGTGATTTCTCGCTTTCTGTCTCTATGTCTCTCTCTGTCTGTCTGGCGAGCGCACGCGCCCTACAGTGAAAATCTCTCCAAAAAAAAAAAAAAATTATGTAGTAAGATGTAACTTAAATAGCCATCATGATTTAGAATCGTGATTTTTTTTTTGCCTTAGGGCACATGCACTTGCCAATGAGAGACAGAGACAGTGAGAGGGAAGGTGAGAAATCACCCTTCAGCAGGGATGGCCATGCCACAATCCCTTCTCCATCCTCTTCTGGTCCATGCATATTTGGCATGCATGCACACATACCCAGTGTGATTTTCAAGCCACCAAGTCCAGTACTCAGATCATGGTCAACCACGTGGAAGTTCAGTGACATAACCACTACACTGTCTGCTGGCCCCACCATCATGAATTTTTAAAAATCAAAACGGTAGTTCCAGGATCAGCAGTGCTGTGGTGGTTAATGCGCTGAACTCCCATATTGCTGAACGCAGTTTGAGTCCCAGACCTGGCAGCTTGAAAATCACACTAGGCATGTGTGTGTGCATGCTCAGAATCCCAGAAGGAAAATGGAGGAGAAAGGACTGTGGCATGGCTATCTCCCCACGGAGTGACTTTTCACTTTCCCTCTCACTGTGTCTCTCTTGCTCTCTCTAGCAAGCACATGTGCCCTATGGCAAAAACCTTTAAGAAAAGTAATTGTAGTGCCAGCCCTACAGTTCAGTGGTTAAGGTATCTGGATCCCAGATGACTGAGAGCAGTTCAAATCCTGTCTTTGGCAGCATGAGGAACATGCTGGGCAAGTACGCATGCGAGTACCAAATCCTGACAGTATAGAGGAGAAAGGATAGTGGTGTGATTACACCCCACTGGGGGGGCGGGGGGGTTGCTGTCTGCCTCCCTCTGTCTCTGTCTCTTTATATCTGGTGAATACATGTTCCCTCTGGCAATAAAAGGAAAGAAATTAGAAAATAACCCTACAAAATTATTAATGATTTTAAGTAACTTTTCTTTCTCATTAGCTAAGAAATCTTCAAAACAAGCTTTTCATGAAAGAAACTTCACTGCAAGAGATGAAGACCGAGTTGGAAAGTTACAAAGAAAGTAATGTGCAACAGTCATTCCAGATCATGGCCCTGAAAGATGATATCAAGGACCTACAGGAGCTTATTGCTTCTCTAACCAGAATTAAATCTCTAAATAACACCAATATTCACAGTCTTGAAAGAGGCAACTGGGCTCTAACTGAACGAATTATGGAACTAGAAAATCGTCTAAGGTAGGAAATTTTATGGTTAGTTTTCAGGCTTATCTTTATGATAAGATTGCAAACAGTGTATGAACTCTCCTCCACCTTGATCATAGAATTCAAATCTAGCAGAGGGACCAGCAGTTAGCGTAATGGCTATGTCGCTGGACTCCCACATAGTCGACCGCGGTTCGTGTCCCAGACCCGGTGGCTTGAAACTCACGCCGGGCACATGTGCGTGAGTGCCCAAGATCCCAAGAGGAGACTGGAGGAGAAGGGATTGTGGCGTGGCCATCCCCCTGGGGGATGATTTCTTGCTTTCTATCTCTCTGTCTCTCTCTGTCTTTCTGGCAAGTGCACGCGCCCTATAGCGAAAACCTCTCAAACAAAAAAAAAAAAGAATTTAAATCTAGCAGAATTTCACTTAATTTCACCTCAACATCATAAAATAAAAATAAATAAATAAACAGAAAACAAAACTAAAAAAACTTTTTTGAGCCTAGCTGTGGTGTTGCAGGCAGTAGGAAGCTCCTGTGCTGTACTGGAGCTGTATAGGAAGGCCAAGGGTTTAGATCCCAGGTCATCCTGAACATACCCATGATCCTGGCTAGCAGGAAGGCTGGGAGGAACATCGCAGTGCAGCAAGGCACTGTCAGATATGTCTCAATAAACAAACAAATATTTGTATATGTATAAGTCATATACCATAGATTTGCCCCTTTAAGGTCCACAGGCTGATGATTAGAAAACCATCACCACCATCTTATTTCAGAGCATTTTTATCACTCACAAAAGAAACATGTACCCATTAATAGTCACTCCCCATTCCACCTTCCCCAGGCCCTGACCACCACTAATTGACTTTCTGTCTCTATAGATTTGCCTTTTCTGGGCAGGCCATATGAGTGTAATCATAAAATATGTGGTATCTGACTGACTTCTTTCACTTCCCATAACATCTCCAAGGTTCATCTATGAACCTTGGAGGTCGATCTATGATCGACCCTTCTTTTTTAGGGATGAATAATGTTGCATTATATGAGGACCAGTAGATAGCATAATGGTTACGTTGCTGGACTCCCACATATTTGACCACGGTTTGAGTCCTGGACCAGGGAGCTTAAAACTATGCCAGGCACGTATGCATGCATGCCCAAAATCCAAAGAGGAGAATGGACAACAGATTGTGGCCTGGCCATCCCCGCTGGGTGTGTGTGTGTGTGTGTGTGTGTGTGTGTATGTGTATTTCTCACTATCTGTTTCTCTATCTCTCCAGCAAGTACACATGCCCTATAGGAAAAATCTCTCAAAAAAATTGCATTATATTTATATACCACATTCATTTTTCTATTGATGGACATTTGGGTTGTTCCCAAACCAACATATATCTTCCTTATAGAAATGCCTATTCAGATCTTTTCTTTTGCTCATTTTTAAAGTGGGTTGTTTTTTCATTGTTCAGTTGTAATTATATTTTCTGAATAATGGATTTTCTTTTTTTTTTTTTTTTTTTTTTTTTTTTAAGGGGGGGTGTTTTTTTTTTTTTTTTTTTGCTACAGGGTGTGTGCATTCACCAGAGGGTAACACATAGACAGAAAGTGAGAAATCACCTCCTGGGGGGATGACCACACCACAATCCCTTCTCCTCTCAGGATTTTGAAAATGCATGCACACATGGCTAGCATGAATTTCAAGCTGCCGGGTCTGAGACTCAAACTATGGTTGTCCATGTGAGAGACCAGCGACGTAACCATTACACTGTCCCAGAACATTTTTTTCAGTTTGCTAGAGCATGCATGTGCTTGCTGGAGAGAGAGAGAAAAAGAGAGTGGAAGTGAGGAAGCATTCTACTCCCAAGGGAGTGGTTGTGCTGCAGTCCCTTTTCCTCTATTTCTTCTTTCAAGATTTTGGGCACGCATGCAAATGTGCCTGGCATGTTTTTCAAGATGCTGGGTCTAGTACTTGAACCATGCGGTTAGCCATGTGGGATCCCTTGCCTTAACCACACCACAGGCTGGCACCCTTTATTATTTTAATTCAAGTTTAAAAAATAGTTGAGTTTGTTTTATTATACATTTACCTACTGGTATACTGATGTTGTACACAGAGTACATCTAATTGAAAGAGAAAAAGCAGAGCGAAAAGCAGACTTTTTGGAGAAAAAGTTACTAGGTGCTAACAGATTCTTCCCTTACCTGAATATGAAAGGACTAGAAGACTCCTTGAATATTTTCATGTTGAAGGTGAGTACAAATTTTGATTTAATTTTGAGGAAGCAAGATTTTTATTATCTAATGCTATCCCAAGAGATGACTGACGTATATCAAACATGTTGGTCCTGTTCTTAATGGAGGATCAAAGGAAGTCATATATCATGGTAGACTGGAAGCCTTTCTGATGTATGGAGAGGAAATGCAAAGAGGATCTGAGGGTCTCTGTGATATTGAAGAGAAGGTGTGAGGGAATGGGGCTGTGAGAGAACTGGGAAGAGAAGTGATGGTTAAAGAGGGAAATATTAAAGTTTTTAATTCAAGGCTTGGGAGCTAGCAGGTATGGTATAATGGTTAAGGCGCTGGATTTCTACATGGCTGACCATGGTTCAAATCCCAGACCCAATGACTTGAAAATCAGCCAAGCACATGTGTAAGCATGCCCAAAATCGCAAAAGGAGACTGGAGAAGGGCTGTGGCTGACTCCCTTGAGGGGTGATTTCTTGCTTTCTCTCTCTCTCACTAGTGAGCACACACGCTCCATGGCAAAAACCTTAAAAAAAAAGTTTGGTGTAGATTAATTCCTGCTGCTGACATAAACTGGATTTGTGGATCTGGGTGTAGATCATTGAAGATGGGTATAGATGAAAAGAATTGAAATTGAGGGACATGAGTCACAAAGCTAAATTGTTTGGTGGGTTATCTACATTAATCATTGACATCTAGTATGAGTTGGGTTTATTTTTTACTTTTTAAAAAATTTGCCAGAAGTCACATGCCCTCACCAGAAAGAGACAGAAAGAAGGGAAGGGGAAAGGGAATAAGCACCCTCTCCATGGGGTATGGTTATGCCACAATCCTTCTCCTTCATTTCTCCATCCTGCTGGTATTTGAGGCATTCACACACACCTGCCTGGTGAGCTTTTCAACTTGTCAGGGCCAGGATTCCAGCCACTGTTGGCCATGTGAGATCAAGCTTCCTTAACCACTAGGCTCTGGGGTTGCCTGATGAATTGGGTTTAGAAAAAGGAGGTGAGCCTGGTATCCCATAGACAATGAATAGAAGGTGTTCTAGAAACATGGTAGAGGAGGATAAGAGACATACTATTGTTAAGAAAGTGGTGAGATTTATTTTAAAATTCTTAGACCATACAAATTCGCTATATAATCTGGATTAAAAAAATGTGAATCCCACATAATCCAATTAATATGAGGGATTTCATTAAAAACAAAATTCAGCAACTATTAATGCTTTCAAAGTTTAAAGTAATCCCAATCTTAGTTTCTCTCAAGTAATTCACAGTAACATTTTCTGATTCTTTTTTCTAGGATTTTAGTTTAATAAATCCATAACTACTTCAACAGTTCTAGTTCTCCTTCTGTTTCTCAGTTTCGCATAATAAAAAGCCCAGAAACTGAACTTCCTTATCCAGTTCCCAGAACTGAAGGTGACAAGAAGATGGGAAGGAGCTAGGTGGGATTTATAAAGGCAGAATTCTCTGGGTGGATTCTTGAGGAAGCCAGATACCCAAGGATAGCTCACGCTGTAGAGCCCCACGGCACCATTCCTACAATGGCGGATCCACACGAGACCCACCCTTGATCCAACATTGAATGGAATCTATGATCCCTATTGTTGAAAACTTTAAACTTGTGGCCCTTCTCCCTTTACTTGCAGGTATCACATTTTCAATGGTTCCCCTGGAAGACAACTGTATATAGCAGAGATAGTGTATTGGGAGAGGGGGAAAGGGCAGAGGGTCAAAGATAGGATAAAAAACATATATGTATGTATACATTATATGAAAGTAGAAATGGAATATTATTGATGATAACATGCTTGATTAAGTCACTATGTTGTTTGTCCTAGATGGGAAACTACATTTAGAATGTTGTGATGATGCTCAGGGAATGAGTGTTAGGTAATATAATATTAAAAAAAAAAAAAAAGTTGCAGGAGGAA